CCGGTTCGGGGGCGGACACCCGGACTGGGCGCCGTCAGGACGCGGGACCGGGTGGGCCCCGGGAGCAGCGCGCGGGCGGGATGTGGGCGGGAGCCCAGGCCGTGTCGCCCCTGGTCCCCAGGTTACGCCGGGGCTCCGGGTCCGGCCCCGCGTTTCCCTTCCCTCCCCGCCGCCGTCCTGGGTCGGGGCGCGCGCGGGCTCAGTGCGGGAACGGGAGGTTCTTTTGAATGCGTGTCTCGCGCCCGGTGCTCGGCTTCGCAGAGCCCAACCGGCCCGTGTTGGTTGCAACGATGTGCACGTGCTGCCCACGGTGGACAGATGTTCCCCGTGCGCGCGGGGTGATCGCGCTCACAGACTGGACGTTTTGTGTCACGTGTGAGGCAGGAGGAGTGACAGTGGGGTGGGGGCGGGGGAACAGGGGCTAGAAAGTGGCTCCAGGAGGGCCTCGGGTCCGAGGTGGCTGAGCCACACGGGGCTGCTTTCCCTAGGAAATCGAGGTCGGCGGCGGGCGGAAGGCCATCATCATCTTCGTCCCGGTGCCCCAGCTGAAGTCTTTCCAGAAGATCCAGGTCCGGCTGGTCCGCGAGCTGGAGAAGAAATTCAGCGGGAAGCACGTGGTCTTCATCGCTCAGGTACCCTGCTGTTGAAGCCTCGCGGGTGAAGCCGCTCAGGCCGCGTGTGTTCGGGTGGCCGGCACTCGGGTAATGATCGTGGCCCTGTTGTGAACAGGAGAAACTGTTGTTGGTGGTAGAGAGCTGGGAAGGCTGTGCTCCCGGTGGGTTAAGAAGGTAAAGTTCGCTTCTGCTGTTAATGTTGAAGTGGCTTTTCACGGTTGCAATGACGTAAAGGCAGCTGCTTGAAGAGGTGGCCAGACTAAGGCGCCTGAGGTTGGCCTGGCCCAGGGTTTTTTCTGCCTGAGAATCACCTGCCTGAGGCTCCTCTGCCCAGGTGAGGCAGGTGGAGATGGAGGGGGAGGCGCTAAGGAGCAGTCTGTAGGGAAAGGCAAAGTCGAGGAGGGTTTTCTAACTCAGTCTAGGTTGGCTTTCTCAAAGTTGGAATTCTGTTCCTGTCTTTCTGTTTTTAAAGCAGTCTGACATTTTCTTTGCCACCTTATGGGCCTTTTGTTGCTGTTGCATGACATTTTTGCTTTGCAGAGGAGAATTCTGCCCAAGCCAACTCGAAAAAGCCGGACAAAGAATAAGCAGAAGCGCCCCAGGAGGTAAGTCTTCTGTTGGTGTGGGGCCTCCACTCTCGCTAACTGCTGTCGGCTTGAGGGGCTGTTCACAGTGGGAGCTGCAGAGGCTCCTAAAGTCACGTGTGGTTAGTTCAGGGAAGCCATCCACCTCGGCTTGTTTACTGAGGAACTTAGTTTCTTCTGTAATTCGATGTGAAATGTGTTAAGGTTCTGGAGATAAGAGTGACATGTGCTGCAGGTGGTGTGATAGGCCAAGGCTGTCACAAAGGATGGAGGTGGTTTCCTCCGGCTCCTGGGAGCGGTGAGGAACCCCCAGTTTAGGGCCCACCAGACAGTGGAGCGGGCCGGGCTGTGTCTTTGCTTTTTATTTTCGCTGTGAATTAAGGCCAAGTTAGATTTTCCTGTTGCTGATGTCACAGGTTGAAATTTAGTGCACATGTGGACGCAGGTGGACCGTGTTCATGAACTTGATTGTCTCAGGTTCTCTGCATAAACTCAGATACTGGTAGTTGAGTCCTTGGTTCAGGGCTTCTGGGTTTTGTTGAAGTCCTCGGCTTCACAGAGTTGGATTATTGGACGCCTGCAGCCCCTTCCCTAGGGACCGCATTGAGAAAAAGTGTTCTGGTGTCCCACTGACTGCCAGGTGGGCAGCAGCCTTAAGTGTGTACTTGGTGTGGTTATTATTATTACCCCTACTTACAGGATGGGGACAGAAGGTATTTTTTAATTTAAAAATAACTTTTTAAAAATTATGGGGAAATAACAATATACTTTTAAAAAGTAAAGGATGGGGAGACTGACAAGCTTGGAAAGCTGGCTCCGCACAGCTGGTCATGGGGACGCTGGGTGTGAGAAACTCAGCCTTGTCTTTGAAACCCTGGATAGTAGGAAGTGATGGACTCAGGATTGTGAGCTAATGTTACTGCACCATGTCTGTGGGTGAGGTTGTAGAGGCAGGTGCCAGTTTTCTGGGCTTGAATTATAGGGTTCAGTCCTTTGTGCTTGTCTTTGGGTAGTTGGAGCAGCCTAAGAGTTTGGGAATACGCACTGCTCTCCAGGAGCCATGCCCACGCCTTTCTTCCTTCTCATGCGTGCATCTCCTGAGAGTCCCCATAATACTTGCAACCAGGGGAACAGTGGGCAGTGGCAGCTCGTTCCGGGCTCACTCCTGAACCTGTCCCCAAGGCCCCCGTTTCTCTGACTTCTCAGTGAGCCAAAGCAGCCCAGCCTGGGCTCTCCTATGGGCTTCTATCCGAAGCCCGCCCTTGTTTCACTGCCCCCAGCTTTAATAAATATACTCTTAAAATTTAAAAAAAGTCAAAGAATTCAAGAATATTTTTTTATTCTAGATCGCAAGAGATCAAATACAGGAGGTAATCAAGAACATTTAGTTTGGTTTTGTAATTTCTGAGAATCCCATTAGTACTCGAGTATAAAAACAAGCCCTTTGCCTTGCACCCCAGTAAGGGCTTGGCTCCCACATTTACAGCCTCCATTCTCCCACTTCTCAGTCCTGCTTTTCCCACATTCTTTCTCTTGGTGGTGACTCAGGGTCACTTGCTACAGCTGCAGCCTTCTTGCTCCTGACACTCCATCTAGTTCTCGGGCCAGGGCTGTTCTGCCATTTTCCCCTCTAGCTGCTTCCTTCAGATGTGTTTTCTACTTTCAGTGGTTGACTTTCTCTCACACAGATTAAATGCTGAGATTCCACATTTTGTTTGGCTTCTAACCTGTAAGATCCCAAATATTTGTCTTGACTTAGCTCAGTCTCTGGTTTGTGATACCAAAGTTGCATTGCCGTTGTCCCTTTTTAACAGAAATTAGATGACATTGAAGTCTGAGATGACTTTTTAAAAATTGTTTTTTTATTGATTTTAGAGACGGGGAAGGGGGGAAACATGAGTTTATTCCACCTGTTTATGCGTCATCGGTTGCTCCCTGTATGTGCCCTGACCAGGGTTGAACCTGCAGCCTCAGTGTAGTGGGATGATGCTCTTAACCAACTGAACTACCCAGCCAGGGTTGAGGTGACTCCTAAGATCAGTTTTGATTCTATTCTGATTTGTTTTAAAGGGAGTAATCCACAGGCTTCCATGTCCAAGTGCCTTCCCAGCCCTATAAGGATAGGAATGTGCTTAATTAGGGGCAGCAGTGACCAGCTGAGCCGCCTGTCTCATTTGCTCCCTGAAAGGTGAAGGGGCCCTGAGCGTGCTGTCTGTAGCCGTGTCACAATAAGACCTGGCAGGCACTTGAGAGCCACTAGACAGTGTTCACTGTGTGCATGGGACCTGCCAGATAGGAAGTACAGGCTGGTGCCACATAGTGTCTGATGAGGGACAGGTCCCCAAACACATCCCACAATACAGGGTCCTCTGTAAACATGAAGATAAGAACTGTCTCTTCGCTCATCCCACCATCCCCTGCTACCTAGCAGGTGCCTCGGAGTGGGAGTAACTGCCCTTCGGTTGTGAGCAGCCATGTGGGCTGTGAGGGTGAAGTGATGGGG